GCTTAGGGCAGCTTTTCATTCTTGTAATTTGCATTGTGAAACTTTTTTGTCTAGGATTCAGCAGGCATATAATAAATGTGACAATACATACCTTGACTTCTCTGCTCCTTTTCCAATGTAAAAAAAAAAAAAAAAGAAGTCTTATGGATGCTAATTAGGATGTGACAATGTTTTTTTTTTTTTTTTATTGGATGGGGTGAGTGCACCCCTATTTAGGTCTAAGAGTTGCCTGGAAACATGCAATAAAACCATGATTGATTGGTAGCATGAATACAATTTTTGTTGGTAGACTGCAGCATTTTAAGCTGTAGTGTACTGAGAACATGTGCAAGATGCAGGAAGACCTCGGTTGTCAAGACCCTTTAGTAAAAAAAAATGGCTGTGGACGTAGAAGACAAAATAAACAGTCACTTTGGCTTTGCACAGTTGTCATGATATTGTGGTGCAATATTTTTATTTCCATTGCAGAGATTACTACATGTTCTGCCTCGTAAAACCAGTGTACAGATTTTACAATGTTCCGTATGCGAAAATGCTATCTTCCCTTCTCCTTCTCTCCCCTCGTGCACCCTTCTCCCCCTTTCCTTTTCTTCTCCCTCTCGCTCCTTCCCCCTTTCCCCATCGACGTTTGTTGGTGCAGAGTTCGCTGGCAACAAATATATCTTGTTGCAAACTGAAAGCTTGTACAGGTCTGTTTTGTCCTTCTGTTCATTTTGTGCTTTCTTACTGTTACATCTGTTCCAACACGCTCATCAAAATCTTCTCGACTACTTTTTTTGCATATCTGAATCTGTCTTCCGTTCCTGTTTACTTACTGCCCTGGTGACATTGAGATAGCATGCTGGCCTATGATGAAACCTGCTCAGGTGGCTTCAGTGTACAGAGTTGCAGCCCAACTGAATTATTGTCAGATTTCCCTTATTTCAGGAGGTAGTCTGTTAGATTGTTACATGCGGATAAACTAAAACTCTGGTGTGAAGGAATTGTTGGGAAACGGAGCCTAGCATGGGGGGGGGGGGCACATGTCTCGGTCAGAAGAGGCACTGTCCCCAGTGACATACCTTCACACTCTTTTCCCTCCTCTTTGTATGTTTGTAACTTATTATTTAATGTTCATAACCTATGTGAAACACACATTGTTTTTTTCTAGGGCTGGGCAATTGGTTGATTAACCTACCATTTAATGCTTTAATCACGATTAATTTTTTAACCGGTTAATTAGTAGAATTTTGACAGACCAAAAGTAAAAATTAAATGCTTTCACCATGCAGATGTGGATGAGTACACCTATATGAAGGGCATATTTTCGGTGAAATATTAACCTAAAGTAAACTGTCAATGCGAGACTTGTAAATCCAGACAAGTGCAGAAGTTTACACGTGTCCCGGCCACTTCAATGCCATGCGAGCGTCCGTTTAGCCAAGCAGAGACTATTGTGAACAATCAAAGGTGGCCGCTGTTGCCGGAGAATATCAACAAACTTCCTTGCCTCAAGCAGCTGAAGTAATAATCTGCGAGTGTGAGTGTCTTTGAACTGTACAGCTCAACATATCGACGTTGATTTATAATTGAAATTGTATATTGCACCGTTTGTCACATATTCAGCAAAGGAAAAAAAAAATAAATAAAAAATGAATAAAGGGTGTCAATTAATTGGGTTAAAATTTTTAATCGACGCCCAGCCCCACTTTTTTTCTCTTCATGTAATGGCAGTCGTGGAAAATGTTTCAGAAAAACGAGCAGTGTTCACCCCAACTCACAGACAGAACAAGTGGTCACATGATCTAGAGCCAATTACCAGCAGCATACTATTTGGATTCACAATTTTGTTTTCTGCTGCAGATACCGGTCACCTAGATGTAGGCACGCATGTCCACCTTGACAGACTCCCACAGGAGCCGAATGCCCTTGCATCACTTGTGTGGCAGCTTCTTTATGCCCTGCTGGAACCACTTTTACAGCGGAGCTGTTAAGGGCTAGTTTCCCCAGGATCGTATCCCCCTCAAAGAAATGAAGACACCGAACTCTGGACACCTACCACCGTCTATGAGCGACGGCAGCAAGCCACCTATCTGGTTGCCACCGTCGTTCATAGGTGGCGGCAGCCTTTCCACTTTGGCTTGCCGACTCGCAGCCAGCCGTTACTTTTCATTGTACAGCTCCGCTGGTTTTCCTTCTTCACCACAGTGGAAAGGCTGAAAGTTTTTTTCTCGTCATTTGTCCAACTTTTGCATATTGCAGTCATATCGGTTGTCAGAGACCTTTACTAAAAAAAACCACAAAAAAAAAATACTTTTTTTTTTTTTTGAGTTTTACATTTACGCTTGGACAGCTGCTTCCCGCGTATCAATGACTGCGAAATGCCACATTTTATGTGGTAAACACTGGGGGCCCGGTCAGGCCATACACGACTCATCATCCGACTGGTTGTTTGACATGCCAAAAAGACTGCTGAACCCGATCAGACACTGGCAATCACAGACTCACGTGAATGCAGCGGCGTAAACTTTCCATCTTCTTGGGGGGGGGAGGGGGGGGGGGGGGGGCAGGCTGAGAAGTTCTTCGGGGGGGGAGGTGCTTTCCGCCCAAGTGGAAAAGCACCCCCCCCCAGAAGCACGCAGGGATTCTATGTTTCATGCATTTTGTCAATAAAGGCAACGTGGGCATTATTTTGTTTACATGCCACTACTAGAAACTCGTTACATGGCACGTAAACAGCGTCTCGGTAAGGATCATGGCCCGGGCCCGGGGGATACAGAGCCCCCCCCCCCCCCCCCCCCCCCCGGATCTCATTAGGGGGGGACCGAGCCCCGATGACCCCCCGTAGTCTACGCCTATGCGTGAATACACACGATGCAGCGAGTGGGTGGCACCTGATGAGGTTCGACAATCTTTCTGGTATGTCGTAGGACCAGTCGGACATTTGGTCGTGCATGCGTATTGCCTGACTGGTCCCCCAGTGGTTATCTGTTTGGTGCCTCGAAAAAATTATTCCTGCAAATTTGCATTTCAAGTTTTCTGGTGCAGGTAAGAGAAGTATTTTCTTTGTATTTTTTTCAAACTTTTACTTTTCCAACTGTAATACTAATACTTTCCAACTGTAATACAGAATAAAGAAATAAACAACCATGTTGCTCTCAGTAAGGCTGATTACTTTGTTGCTAAGAGTATAATAGCTGCCCTCCCATTTTTTTTTTTTTTTTTGTAAGCTCGGTGTAAGCATGATGGGTTCCAGGGTACAACACAGATGAAAATATTGCCAATGCTTACATAAGTGCACCTTCAAGGCCAGCATCATCAGATAGGTAACTAAAGAGGCAAAATGTGCAGCTTAGTCTACCAGTAGCTTTACTTACTGTGTAATAGAGGTCTTTCAGGCATGTGAAAAGAAAACCGAAGTGAAGTGGTTCAAATTAATCCTTAGTTCTTCCCGAGGCATCCATCACATCTACATTTGCTTCGGAAAATCAATGCCAAACATTTTACACTTGCACATTCTCCCATTAAAAAACACAACACACAAAAGAAAAAAAAAAGGACAAGGGGAACAGAAGAGAAGTAACTCTGTACTCACTCTTATTAATGTAGTGCATATATATTTCTGGGATGAGGAGGCAGAGGAATGTCCCCCTGCCTCTTCCCAGAAACCGCTGGGATGCTCGTGTAACTGGGCTTCGATAAAGTGGTTTGTTCTTCCCGAGATCGTACCACTGGTACGCTTAGGCAAGACATTGTTATCGTTGTGAGATACGCAAGGACGACGGAGGGAGAGGCCAAAGCAACGAAAAACTCTACACTCCGAGGTGGCCTTGTGCAAGCGCTCTCGTGCAGTGTAAACGCTGCTCAAGACAATATTCTCGTACTTGTGTTTCTCAGCTCGCTCGCAGGCATGGGGAACACATTGCTTTCGGCGCGAGGCCGGCGAGGCTTCCTTCTTCAGTGATTTTCTGGCATCGCGTGAGCGTCCAGCGTGATCCTGCATGCTTGTGGCTCAGCGGTTTTCGGCGAGCGGGGAGGACGCGCTGGGGTCAGCGCTGCTCTGGTGAGCAGCGATAGTTAGGATCGCGAAGGTTATGCAGGCTTGGCTATATTATCAAGATGCATACATGGGCTCCCTGATACATTATTTGTAAAGAACTACATGAAATTCTCTAAATAACCGAATAGTCCCGACAGCTGACTTGCCATAGCGCCGCCATTTGTAAACATATGTGCGTACTCTTGAACCGGAGCGCGAGGTGGCAGCGATTTTTGGTCCTGGTCATTGATGGCATGGGTTCGCCTCACTAACTTAATAAATAATAATTAAAACAAATTTCAAACAAGTGCAAGTATATAGCACAATCGACCCATTTGTATTTTAAATTAATCTAAAGCCGGATATGACATCAAAGTAACAATATCGTTTTGTTGAAAAACTAATGGGTTTTTAATGAGTTAATAATATATTGACATTAAAATAGTTTATTAGCAATATAGTATGTAAAAGATTTGTGACCCATGCGTTGTAAAAAACCGGATATGACGTTTTGGGTCGACGCAACGTTTAGCGTTGCGTCGACCGGGTCGACCCAACGCCGGCCGGAGAAATAATAACAGGTCACGTGACCCGACGTCACCGGAAGTGACGTCACAAATATAACGTCACGTGACAAAGAAATTTTGTTTTGCTTGTTTTGTTTTCTGTGACGTCACGGTTTTTAGCGAGGAAACTTTTTTTTTATTTCTACTTTGTTGACGTATTATTTTTTTTTTTATTTTGTTTATTTTCTTGCTTTTTGCAACCGCGGGACCGCGTTTCTGCGCTTCAGATTGCGTTTTTCCGACTCCTTTGTTTGATATCGTGTCGTATCGTCGTATTTATGTAGTTATTAGGAACGGCAAGGCCTACGTTGTTGCGTCCTTTACCTGAATATCGTGACCGAATCGAGTGTCGTCGATTTGAATCGTGTCGTCGACGTGTCGTCGACGTGTCGTCGAACAACAAAAGGTGAGTGATTTGCGTTTTCCCGTGATGTGATTTCGATGTGTTCGTTCCACGTGTCCGAGCTGCTTCTTCGTTTCAAATACATTTGGCGCCGCTGCCTATTGTTTGAGCCTGTGCTCACGATGAAAACACGCATCGCAGAAACCTGAAAGCCCGCCAAAAGAGCTCTAAAAACCGCATCCCAGACCTGCCGGCAGACTTCCGAGCTAAGCCTGATTAAACAAAAACGTTTGATCCGGCGGAATAATGTGTTTGATATTACATCCCATGTCAACAAGGAACTGCGCTGTCTGTCTTCGCCCCCAACAGGTTTTATTCTTCCGGGTTTTTCAAATCTTTACCAACCCGCGTCCGATCGTAATACCCCGATCACAACAAATAGTTGATCGTGCTCCGATGGCTCCAAACATCAGCCGGCAAGGAAGTTACGTTTTTCGCTTCTATATTTTGACCCAAGTAAGCTCATGTTCTCAAACTATGTCATTCTGTCACCACCTCCAGTTGCACATTCTGGCGCACTTGCAGCCTCGTGCACGCTTGCGAGGTTTCCTGCTATCGTACCCTGGATATCATGGATTTCTCGCCGTACGCGAGTGCTCACGGAGGCGTGCTATACACTCTGTATCATAAGTTGTGTGCAGCAGAGGCGCAGGCCCGAGCACATGACAGTAAAAAGCGCCTTTTTTGCACGAGTACCCGCGCAAAAGGACATTCTGCAGAGCTGTGCCCTCGCACCCGTGCCTTTGCTGCACACAACTTACGAGGCAGTATAATAACCGAGCCGTTTTTGTTTCTTTTGCACATTACTGTGAAAGAAGTGTCATTGCTGTTTTCTTCTCAAAGAAAACTCAGAGACGTTAGACAAAAGCAAACAGATAGGAGACTGCACATTCATATGTTTTTCCCCCTTGTGCTACAGGTGATGGCTGGTCGTGGTTCATCAGCGTTTGTTTTGAAACTGATGGGTACCACAAGGCATGAAGGAGGTGACTTGCAGCAGCAAGGCACTGCAAGCCTTCGCAGCAACTGGCTAGCCAGTGCTGCTCTGTTCTGAACTGCACTGCGTGTCATGCGGAGGTTTTGTGCAAGCTCTCTGGGCGGCGACGCTAGCCACGGTAAGTGCATTCTATGCAGCTTCCTTTTAGGGATATATGTGGCTCGCAGGCCATGTCGTGCCAGCGAAATATGTGCCACCCGAGTGACAGCAGTGCTAGTGGCAAGGCTGCGCTGACAGTAATCAACACTGCACTGTGTTTTCATTCAATAACTAGTGACAAGGAACCAAATACTCCCGAGAGAGTCTCGGTTGTGCTTTGATAAACTCCAGCTCGCTTATGAACAGGTGGATGGCACAGATGGCTTTTCCTGGTGGACTTGGTGTCCGTGTTAACATTGCAACCAGACTTTCTTTCAGTTTGTGGCGTTTTTTCGTTGCGGGTGACCAGCATTGCAGTAGAAAAAGATGCAAAATAGTATAATGTTTGCATTCGTTACCTAAATTAATGGCAAGAACAACTGACATACATTTCCACCGACTGCATTTCTCGGAGGAATAGCCTGGACTAAAAAGCTCGCTACACTATGTCGTTCCCTCTTCGCCTGTACAACTCTGCGTCTTCCCTCGATCGTCTTATGTGGCTGCTTCTGTGTCTGCCTAGGCACTCGGTTGAAATGGGGAAAGCTGTCTGCGTTGCACATAACCGCCATTAGAGCCAGCGTGGGCGTAGCTGGGGTAGCCCCCACTATGGCTTCTCCAGCTCGACACAAGTAACATTCCTACCGCTGTTGTGTTAGCAGAAAACAGACCTGCTTAAAACGTACAGTGCACATAGCACACAATGGAGAGGTTGCTTGCCAATCATTTTCTTGGAAGTGTGAGTTGAGCCCTTTCGAGGCAGTTTGCTTCCGCACCGTGCACTATAATCCGCCCGAGAAGAGAAAACAAGATGAATAACCAGTAGGATTTCTTTGTTCCAAGGCTTCTTGACGCAGAAAAAGACTAGGGAGCCAGTATTGTTGCTTTTTTGCTACCCCGTGCGAGACTCAAACCCGACATGCAAGGAAGTGGAAAGGCCTCTTCCTTTCTGCTTTCTTGTGCCTTGGGTTTTAGCTGTGTTCAGAATTCACAGCTCGCCTGCATGCCTACTCTTTTGTTCACTGTGTTACTGAAGTTTTCTGTCGTTGCTGTCCCAGATTGGCTTCGTGGATGCACAGAAATACTCAAGGCGCTTGACGTCTGTGGCTCATCTGTATTGTTTTTCCCGGTACCACGGCATGAAGGAGCTGGCCTCCCTCCCTTCCATCAGCTGCGAGATACTACAAGCACTGGGCTACAGCTGCAGCTAGCCCATGGGTACCGTTCTGCGTCCTGTACTGCATCTAGTTCGAAAGGCCATGTGAAAGGCAGGTGTGGTCTTTATGGGCTCTGTCACTATGTGCATTTTCTGCAGCTTTTTCGGGGCAACTTCATATTAAGATTCAATACGGACTCGAGTGAGAGGGGGACATTCTGAGAAAGCCAGCCTCTTTGTTAAACCATTGGGACTGGTATTATATCTACAGAGTTTATTTACACCTTTTGTTATGTACTTTTTTATTTATTTTTATTTTACTAGTTACTTATACTTCAATCTGACACGACAGCCACCAAAAATGGGGAAAGGACAAAAGTGTTGACATATTGGCCTTTTTGTTTTCTGGCAGTTTGTTTGAAGAGCCAATGTTGGGGGCCGTCATTCGTGTTATTTTTCCCACACGCACGTCCAGCCTATGTTTACGTAAAGCCCCAATTGCCCCTTAGCAACAAAAATAATTTATGCGACAGACTAGGCGGCAGCATTGTGGACGAAAACAGGCCAGATTATATCTGCCATGTTTAAAAACTACATTCGGTGACAGGTTATGAATTCAGTGGCAAGAATGCACACCGCCTGCCAATCACTGCTGTCAGTTGTCGTGACGTCACGTCCTGCTAAGAAACTAGTATATATTTTTTTTAAATGGCAGGTTTTGGTTGCTGATGCCTCGTAGCACGTCAGCACTCTAAGCAATTCTTCTGCTCTTGGCCTCTCCGGTTTTACTTTGCAAAGTCATGACGGCGTCTGCTTTTGTTTGCGGTATTTCCCGTGTGTCGACGTGAGAAGGCAGCGATTGTATCGCCAAGGAAGTAGCGATCAATCTGCGCATTTATTCCAGCGGCACAGCGTTTACAAACCGGACTTTGCCCTTCACCGAGGGGAAAGTCTACCGACTGGCCCTACAGTTGGCGAGCATTGTGCAGCCGTGAGCGCGTAACTTGTCCGAATGCTTTCGTCTGTATACATTGACAAAATGACTCCCTGAAATGCGAAGTACCATACAGTACCATGCCGTACAGCAAACCATCGATCACTTGCTGCAGCAACTTTGCGTTTTAAGTCGTAATAATAAAGTGATTTTTAGGCTAAAATCATTTTTTCATACTGCTCAATTATTCGGAATTCTGCACGATCCCCATCGGGTCTGCAATATCGGTCGGTGGCTGTATAACCTTTAAACACAATGGTTACACACCACAGGTACCGGGGACCATGACATCAGTGAGCTGGCTTTCACCTTGTCCAAGGCAGCAGCGGAACACTACGGGCGGGACCCTGGATCACTGCACCATGGATGCCGTCCTGTACCCTGCACGGCACTGCGTGTGGCTTAAGTGGCCAAGCAGAGGGTCATTGCATGACTTTTATGAGGCGCCGCTAGCCATTGTAAGTACATTTTGGACACTCATGTCTGGTGATGTACTTTTGTGCTCTACCGCAGAGCACATTTGGTGGCGGTTCAGTCTTGCCAATTACACCATTTTGAAACGGAACACATTTAGTGGTGGCTCGGTTTAGGTTTCCTGGCTCGGTGATCTTGCAACAGTGTCTAGACTTGGCGTAAACCTTTTTGTACTTCATTGTCAAGGCTAGTGTAATTTCTGCAATGCCGTTGAAGCCACTTCTGCACGCAAACAAGATAAAAGTCGAAGCCACATGCTTGTGCACAGTGTATGACTACATGTATGCATGGGCACTCGTGCCCATGCGTACCCACTCGCAACATGGAGCATGTTTGTTTCGGCCGACACTCCACGCGTTCATTTCGGCGTCGCCACTCCACACGTCTATGCACTCGCTGCACCTTGAGAATCAAGTGTGCACCAGAATGCACTCCCGTCATGCATCACTCGGGAGAGGAACAAGAGCAGACGACTGGGGTTTTTCCGCCATAAAGAACGAGAACCGAAAAAAAGGGGATTTTCTGCTAAGAAACTGCGTCCCACGGGCAGCAAAATCGGACGCGAGCTGGGCTATTTATTCTGTGAAGCAAGCAATCGACAACCTGTGCTTCATTTTCAATTTTTCTTTCAGCTTGTTGCCACACAGACATTGAAATACATCAATGGGATAAAGTAAGGTTCAGAACCAACATCAGCTACCGTGAGATCTCTCACCATCCTTGCGGGGTTGAAAAATTGGGACTTCAGTTGACAAACCTCGCCCGCCCTCCTGTCCATCATCACCTGACCCCATTCTGCATACGTGGGTATGTGCAAGGGAGCGTGATCATGTGGCTGAAGATACAAGTGTGACTGGCCCAACGAGCACATAGTTTCCACAGCACTGTCGGCTTAGGGGTGCACGGAAGATACTGTATAAACTGGAATATAGGTCGACCCCTTAATTTACAAGTTGCAAGATGCAAAAGAAGTTTTTATGGCAAGAAAACGCAACCTTACCTTGGTGACAAAATTGTCCAAGTATATGAAAGGACGAGAAAACACGGCAGATTTATTTAATTGTTTTGCACTCAATAAAACAGGAAGTATGCGAGTGTTACTACTCAGATTCCTCAGAGCCTTCTTCCGACGACGAGTTCACTAACACAATTTAAAGGGACGATGCCGTCCCTTTGAATTGCGCCCTCGAAAGCTCGGAGGCACGAGCAACCTCAACGCCTTTTATATGGATGCTCTCCGGCATCACAGGTATCGATCTGGCGCACAGATCCCGAATAAAGTTTGCCGCCTTTGTTTCCAATTCGGGGTACACTGCAGTCCTTCCACGAAATTAAGTTTTCCTCGCCTTGCTGCACGCCGCCGGTTTTTGTCTCTGGTTTTGCCAGTAGCATATGCTTTTCTCCGATACACTGAACTCTCGCTGCGCTGCAAGATTCCGGTGGATCTCTGCATAGGCGATTGCCTTGTTCTAAAAGGCTACTGTGAACTGTCTTCTACTGCCGCTCATTATTGCTGCGGTAGATGTAACAAACCAAGGAGCACAAGTAAAAGTTAATCGTGACCATCGTGACAAGTGGACGAGTGCTAGGCCATTGCAATATAAAACAAAATGGCGTCTTCAGGCACTGAGTGTTGCGAGATTATTTTTGTTTTTCCGCTAATGACCGTCATATAAGACGAGGGTCGACTTTTTCAGGTCCAATTTCAAGAATAAATTCGACTTATATTCCGGTTTATATGCTAGTTGTGCATAGTACTGTGGAAGCCACAGGCTGGGGAGGGGGGGATTAGCAACTTTTGTCTGAATGTTGGGCGACGAGCATCAAGGGCCAATTTCCTAGGGGGAGAATGGTGACGTGCGAGTACAAAAATGAGGATCCAAGCGCCATGAGCAAGAGGGGAGTTCCTCCTTTTCCTCCTCTTGAACTGCTAGAGGTATACTTATGCCCCTGTACCTTTGGTAACACTGCACAATTTGTAAGTTGAGGAAAGCTAAGAAGGAAGTTGAAGAATCGATTCATGACCCCTTTAACATTTACCTACACTAGTTACCTTGCACCATTATATTTTGTTTGAGAAAGCTCTCATCCTCACCCCTCCCATAAGGGATAAAATCAGAAGTGTATACAACGATCGGAATCTAAAGTGCCACGAAACCTATTGCTGGACATTCTTACGGGTTAGTGATCAATTTTTGTATGAATGAGGCCTTACCAGTGCCTTTGCCTCAATAGTGTGGTAAAAGGGCAATTTTCTTGTTTGTGCGCACAAATTTGTTTTGAAACATAACTTGCTGGACTACCAATGCATGTTTCAAGATCTCTGTTGTGGTGAATGTTTTGCTGCCTGTTATATTCTTCAATAGCCAGTATCGTTTAAGTTCTAGAACTCTATACAGTAAACTCCCACTTGAGCAAACTTCTAGGGACTCAAAGAAATAGTTCCCTTAACTAGGAGTCCACTAAACTGAATATATTCACTGGATTATGGAACAGCATACGGCACAGCATACATTGAGTCAAAAGGGTGAAATGCAATTTATGGAGTCATGTACATTGATATATACAAAGTGTATTGCAGTTACGCTGCTGCCTTTCTCATTTTGAAAATAATCAATAATTTTCATTTGCACCGGCGCTCTGAAAGCGCATGAAGTAACAAAGTTGCCCAGAGAGTATCTTTTTTTTTTTTTGCATATCCTCTGGCACAGCTAGTTGCTGTGAGGAAGTCGTACCGCAACGGCACTGTCCACTGGCTTGAAATATTCAGTGCAGAGCCGTTCCCTGTTGGGATTGAACGCAGTTTCTCTTTCAAGCTTCGACTTTTGCTTCACTAACGTTGACAACGTCGACGGTAGCATCCGATAGTCCTTCGCAACATTCACTTGCCTTTGACCGTTGCCCAGACGCTGAAAGTATTTCAATTTGTCTGAGAGACAACCGCTTCCATTTCGTTATACTTATTACGTAAGTGGGCGCACAAACTGCCGTTGTTACCCAAAACTAAGATGGCCGAAAGGAACCAATAATAAAGAAAAGAAAATATGCACCGCATGGTTCGTTTTTGTCTATCGCATCGCTGCTGCAAAGGCGGCGGCGGCCATCAGCTACGCCAGCACTGCAGAGCACAAAACTTTGTTGAACTGATCACAACAGTAATCCTGGGTCCACCGATCAAGTTCGTTGAACTGAAATATTCGCTATTCCGAAATTCGTTTTTCGTAGAGCAAACATTTTTGCATAGAATGCAAAGGAAAACCACCATAGATTTTTGAAAGTTTGTTATTCTGAAATACTTGTTAAACCAACATTTGCTCAAGTGCGAGTTTATTGCACCCGACTACTGTGCGTTGCCCTACATGTTCGGGTAAGGTACTGTTTCTGTTTACCTAATAGGCACTTTCGTTCTCTGCATATACACCATAGGTTTCAAACCACCCTGAATCGTGGATCAAGCCTTGCAAGATGGAAGTTCTCTTTAGGCCCAGCGCCTCTTGATGGATCAAGTCTTGTACCCCATTCCCTCGTGTCTTTCATATAAGTAAATTGTTGGTATTTCTTTTATGACAGTGCACGTTACCTGCGGACCACGTTTTACAGTCGAAACGCAGTGTACCGAAACTTCTTTTATATAGACCCCTTTCTTTGCAAGCGCCACCAGGCGGTGCTTCAGTTTGTTTGATGTCTCAGCAAACTTCTGATTCATAACAAGAATGAACAAAACCCACTTTGACACTGCTGCCTAAAATGTCGATAAAACGTGTAACCACCAATTCTCCAGGTGAGCGCCAAAAGAATGAAGAAACGGCAGATATGTTAAAATGTCAAATATTTTGTACACCAACTTGCCTCCTCCAAGACATTAAATTGTACAGGCAAATGCCCTCATTAAATCTCCAACTTTGATGTATGTTGGAGATTATGCTTTCTAGCACTGGTGACATGAACAAGCTCAACAGGCTTGCAAAGACTGAGCGACCGGAAGTCACTTGGGACACAAGCGGCAGTTCATGTTTGTAAACAGCAAAAGGATCTAGATAAACGGCTGTACGTTGCCGTTGCCACGGCAGCTTACGCAACCGCAATTTTTACCGAGACGCATGCGGGGAGCTATGTACTTCACATTGTTTGTGCATGGCTTGTCATCTATCTTGTGGTTTTGACACTTGTGGTTTTCTTGTTGAAAACTACAAGTGTCAAAACTATGCGATAGAAGACAAGGTGCGCCGCACAATGCTTTTCTGTCCACTACTGTTCTGTTAACAGACGGAAAAAAAACCTGACCAACGGAGTCATATACAGCTTCACTGTAAAATTGCAGTAAAATGCGACGAAAAAACGAATAGAACGCGAAGGGGAGAAACGAGTGACAATTTGAAGCCACCTAATGACCGCTGTGTCACGTGATTTCAAGATCGCAGCACCCATGCGACGGAGGGCGAAAAGGTCTATAGAATTTTAGAAATAAATTGAAGGGATAACATAAAGCCATTTGCAGGGGGGACTGCCTAGCTCGAGCCCTAGCTACTGTTGCATTGGTAGGAATTTGGCATTAGGAAGATGATGTGGCTGTAGCTGGCTTCAGTTGCTGCATTGGCATATGCATCTATTGACATTTGGTGACCATAGCATGCAGAATTTATTGTACAGGAGGAGAGACAGTTGTGACGAGATCAGGAGCATGATTGTACTTGTTTGCAGTGCTTTTCAATGTGGCTGCAGGACATGAAAAGGACTGAATGTGTATGGCCAATATTTTCCAGCACCTAATATTTTGACAAGCCTTGCATGAAAGGAGTTTCTTACAGCAGAGCTGTTAAGGGCTGGTTTCCCCAGAATCATGTCCGGTACCAAACAAATGTCAACACCTGTGGTCGACACAACACTGTTTGCCGCCGTCGCTTATAGATCGCGGCAGGCAGCCTTTCCAGCCTTGGCAACCAGAGAACTGGTTGCTGCCATCGCTGATAGATGGCGGCAACATTTCTTGGGAGGAAGAAGAGCGGGAACGGAACGAGCAGCGATGTGCGCAGCAGCGCGAATGGTTCTGCTATTACCTAAAGTTCCACTGCGTCAAGCGCTTCAGATTCCTTTACGAAAGAAGAGCAGATCGCTCGCCTGAAAAGCCACCACCGAAAACAGAAGCTACAGCTCCGCTGCTCTTCCTTCTTCACCAAAGTGGAAAGGCTAAACATTTTCTTTTTTTTCTTTTTCTTTTTATCTGGAACATGGTGCTGAAGTTTCAAACTGCCTCTGATGTTGCGAGCAAAAAAAGATGCCACCAGAACATCTCGGTGCTAATAATCGCCGACAAGGTGGGAAACGCAGGGCATCTCTTAATGCCCGGCCTCCAGCAAGCACTTGTTGCCTTTTCTCATGCTTTGTCTGCGCATGCATTGTTGAGGCTTGCAAGACGCCAAAGCATTGCCAAATGTAGGAGGCTCCTCCCTGCAATTCTTGTTGTCCTACATTTGATCCTCAAGGCACACCCCAGGTTGGTAGAAAAACATGCGATAGTCTATTCAACACCTGTACATGATTCGGGCAATATGCTAGATATAGTCCCTAACGGAATGAGAACGTACAGGCGTGTCTTGCAAATGCTCGGGCTCAAAGCATTGCCGAAGGTAGGAAATTCGTGCTAAAGTGAGGGCAACTGAAGCTTCACCCTGCCGTCCTCATCTTGCAAGTTGCTAGTTATTAATCCATTTTAAATGTGGCAATGCTACACCATACAATAACGGTTTTTACAAAAGTAATTTGTGGTTCATCTTATCAAAAGCTCGTTATAAATCAAAATGAATAATATTAACTTGCTTCCAAGAGAGAACAAATGGCACTGTGTATTCAAGCTTACAAAATCCAATTTTTACTGAGCAACTTTCTAAAAAAAATTGCGTTCAATGGTGCTCTGTTCAAAACTGGAGTAAAAAGACCCATGTCTGTGTATAACTATCTCAAACACTTTCAAACGAACATACAGAAAGGAAATGGGGCAGTGATTGTCTACCCTAGACATGTCACCCACCTCCTACACACCAACTCATGTTTAAAAACAAACCAGAGTGCCCCTAACGGACGCCGCGCGGTGGTTGGTAGGCAAGAAGCTCGCCGTTGCCCATAATCAAACCATTGAATTGCGTTGCTGTCGGCGTCGGTGTGAGACCCCGTGCTCTTTTTCCATTGGAATTGTTTATTCTACGTCCTCCTAACGATGTCGACTACTTGAGCGGCTTCAGCAAAATTAATGAGGCTCGTTGCACCGCAAAACTGCATAAATAATGCGACGTGCGGCGATTCATTTCACGTGGACGCCGCAGAATGAGCGCAAAAGCCCGACTCCCACGATGAGTCATCTCGCTGTTTTCAGTCGCGACGTCGCTCGGGCTGTAAAAGCGTGGACCGTAGCTGAGATGGTGGACGTCAATATTGAAAACGGCAAGTAGAATCGGGCATTACAAGTCGGTGACGGCCGCTGGTAGCAATGATCAATATCTTGTATCTACTTACACTTGGCCTACTTACCCCAACCAACCCTCAAAAGTGTTTTGAGGCCTGCACTTACTTCTTATCACAATTACCAGGTCAAAACTTCGTTTACGGGCAGCTGTCGTTTGAAAGAGCCGACGACAGTTCGAACGGATGCGCAATGGAGTGCTGGCAAGAAGCACCGCGTCCCGCGTCAACAAACCATTGGAATGTCGCGTCAGCTTCTGTGTGAGTTTGCATACTCTTTTTCGTGTTGGAATTGTCAATTCTACGTCCTCATAACAATGCCTTACCACTTTAATCGCCTGAGCGAAATTATCAAGGTTTGTTACGACGCTGAACTTTGCGTAAATAATTTGACGTGCAGAGATTCATTCGCATGAACGCCGTAGAATGGACGCCGAAACCATGATGAGATTCTTCTAGCTATTTTTGGTCGCAACGTTCGTGCTGCAAACGTGTAAAAGGTAGCGGCGATGATCGACGTCAATACTGAAAATAGGAAGCTGGAACACAGCGAGCGTAACAAGTCGGCGATGGCCACTGGTACCAATGATCAACATCTTTTATCTACTGTTTTCACCGAGCCAACTTAAATCTTTTGAGGCTTGCAATTACTTCTTATTACAATCACCGGGTCAAAGTTTGGTCTGCGGGCCGCTTTTGTTTGAACGAGCAGACGACAAAAAAGTGAAAGCCGTTTACAACTAACTCCCTGTAACGCCGAATTAGAGCGCAGCTCTTGAGGAGGAGGGAAGGGTACTCTGGGGGCGGGGGGGGGGGGGGGGGGGGGTGATGAAGACGATGCCGGTGACGTCATCAGTGATGATGGCGTCATCGCATCGTCATCAGCGATGACGACGATGCGGATGCCGGTGACGTCATTGGGGGGGTCACGTGACCCTGGGGGAGGGGTCATGTGACCTTAGAATGACCTTGGGTACGCCGACGCCGCTCAAGCCGGGAACGGGCCCCTAAGAGCTGCGCTCTAAAAGCAGACAAGTTTGAACGATCAGGCGGCCGTGTCAATTTGAAGACTCGCTGAACCCCCGGGTGGTCCGGACAACTTGGCGGTTTTCTCTCGTTCATGTTGGAACACAACTACATCTGTCGAGCACAAAGTGTTGCCAGCATAAGCAATCGTAGTTCGACAGCGTCTGGTTAGCCCTTGTCACGAATACTATCCACGTTTTTGGACGAATGGAGGGGCAGAAACACATGAAAACTGATCTTCAACCTTTCCAGAGTCTCTTGGTACAGTTCCGTCGCAGCATTTTGACGAGAAGGCAGGTTTTTTGTTTGGTTTCTCCCAAAAGAACGCAGGAATGCATGTCTCGCACCGCGACTTCTGCCCACCACCCCAGACCGGAAGTGTGCCCGACGCGCCACCACCGTGGCGTGACGTAGGAGAGCTGAGTTCATGTATACCGGTACTACAGTAGACTTTCTCCACAACGATGGAAGAGCATGATTCCTTAGGTGATATGCATGCTTCAATAATGGGGCAAACAAATCAGTGCTGCCCTTAACAATAAAACAAGATATAAAATCTGCACCCAAGAACAGCCTCGCTTTAATTTCTTTATTGCTTTTAACATTTCGGTGTCAACTTCCTTGATTGCTGAAATGTTCCTCAATATTACTGAAAAAAAGATGTGCTTGCATTGATGAAAGTGTGAATGTTGTGAACACATTCCTCAGCAAACAGCAGATCTCCAACAATATCTGGACCTGCTTGGCAATGGTAGCAATGTGTGTACAAATGTTCTTAGATCTAGGTCAGTTCACACACTTGGAAAATGCCCGACACCCTTTTGCGGCACATCCGCTCAATGGCATCTGCTACACTATCAGCTCGTCCTATGGACAGATCCGGTAGAACGTTGAATGCACATTACCTGCGGAGGAAAGTGGTTTTATTGTGGTTCTTATAGTAAACATAAGGTCTGCACAATACTTAACGCAAAAAGAGCATTCAAAAAATGTGTTTTTGCTGACCGTGGAGGCATTGACGCTGTGGCGCTAAGAACATTATCCACCCTTACCTGCTTGCATGCCGGCAACAGAAAACTGTTTTTGAATGCTGCTTTTCCGTGGAGCTTGTCAACTGATAGATCCAAGAACGTTGGCATGTATGGCCCAAGGGGAGGCATCTATTTTCCAAAGCACCGGTTTAGAAACCCCCATTTTATTGAATCCTTTCAAAAAGACGCCCAGTTTAGAGAAAACGGCAACGAACCTCCTTTCAGCAAATTTATTTTTAAGAAAACAATTCACCGAACTCGACTGCTTGCTCCAGCATTCGCTTGTTCTGTCTTTGCTGGCGGTGAAGCTGAGCCAGTCAGCGAGTCGCTCGCTTGGGCGGCCAGCATATTCAGAGTATGATGTACACGTTTTCGTGCATGTCACTACCCTGCTGTTTTCGAAAATAGTACTTTTACGTTCTGTTTGTTTCACAACTTAAATCATGCCTCAGTGAATCATGTGCTAGCCTTTAGGTGCTTCCAGATTTGCTTATCTTAATTCAATCGAAGGGATTCACTAAACTGCGACCCTTTTTCAATAAATGCTGCTGTAAACTGAGCTTCGATAAAATGTGCCAGTCCTCGAAAACACGCTTCTATGATATGGTGTTCGGTCAACTGCCATAGACCCCTGCACGAGTGCAACTGAACAGCAGTTGTAGGTACAGCACATTCTATTAGCATAAAATAAAGGCACACAGTCAAACAAAGCACCTCAGTGATGCCTAGGAGATCAGCGAACATAGAAATATTTTACACTGAGTACTATTCAGTTTCATATCTCTTAACATTACCGTCCCGCTTCGGCTAGTCCCTAGATTGTTGACAGCTGCCCCGGCGAGGATGCTTTCCGGACATTCGAAAATAAAACATCTCAGCACAGGTGCTATCCAACGTTTAACCACGTGTTCTTTACGAACATAACTCGGCTTCCAAACGATATTATAGAACGCCGTAAGTTAATATTTTCAAAACAGTAAAAGCGTATCGTAATTGCGCAGCATAAAAAGAACAGTGCAGGTAGAGCGGATCCGTATCACATGAGCGAATTGCATTTTAGCGAACAGCGACATTGGTCACTTCCTACGTATCCGGATTCATACATAACCAGACTGTCGTTAGCAAAATTGTAGGTACTGAAAACAGGGAAATGAACGAGTGTGTGATGGGTTGGTAAGGGAAAGAAACGTGGACAAAAGGCAAACAAGCAATTTCGGAGACGACGACCCACCGAGCTAATGCTCTGTACGAATCTAAACCTCAAATACTACTTTCAGTACAAATACAAGATACCCACAATATTACGCGATAAATAGCCACCAAAATTAACGTACCAATTGGGCAGTGCTGTTCGTAAATCACGTAAATCGCCGAAATCACAGAACGTTCACGAAAGACGAAACGGAACGGCCATCTTGAAAAAATAAAAACAGTGATGGTGATAGCGATGTGTATTCTGTAAAAACTCTGAGGACAAATGCACTCAATGTTTTTTTTTTTCTGATTTTTCTTCAGATTTATGTATGGCAATTGCAAAAACTTTGGAAAACTTACTTCCCCTAGCAAGACCTCGTTAAAATAATGGTAAATAATGGTAATAGACGTTTTAAAATACACTTGGCAATGTCCACGTGGAGCGAGTTTTTCTTTTGCATGGGTTGTGGCGATGCAAGAATGCCACTCAAAGCAGCTAAACCTGTGATTAAGAATAGTGGATGGACCTTTAAGCAGCTAGCATCGTTTACCCACCATCTTTCCATCAGAGCTCCGCATTTCGACGTAACCACAAGCAGACGAACCTGCGCTCCACATGAACCTTTTCTCAGTAATTAATTGCAAAAAAAACACAGACATGGGAACTTTTCTTGCTAAAAGCCTTTCCTTAAAAGTGTGAATGGTCAAAAGCTGAAAGGCTGAAAAACTTCGGACATAGCATGTTAAGGTGGCAAGAAAAATTAAACGGAGATATCCATCTTCTTTCCATCAAACTTTTCGGAGCTTCATCTTTTTAATAATTACCTCCTCACATGTTTCACAGTAATCTGTGGCATGGATTTACCACACTCCTTTTGTGAAGTGTAGCAAGAGGTATACACCGTCATCAGAAAAATATACAATTTATTTAAGACACGGAGCCACGAGAGGGGAAGATGGCAAGACCCGATCCACCAAAAAGGAGAGGGCATAAGAGTGAGGTCTTGCAAGGCTTGGTCCGTGATTCAGGACGGTTTGAAACCTATGATGAATGAAGAGAACAAGGGAGTCCATCAGGTCAACAGCAACAATATCTGACCCAAACATGCAAGGCAATGAACAGCAGGGGCGAATTTGTCAGGCTGGTTGGAGTGGGGGTCGGTGGGAGGGGGGGCGGTTTGCAAGATGATATCACGGGCAAAATGTTGCCCAGGTGTGTTTTGTTGACCTAATATTTGTTATGTCACCAAAAACTAATAATTTCTTCCTAAGAAAAGCTGGAGTATGTTAATGTTTCATTAAGAAGTTAACCTCAAGGGGGGGGGGGGGGGAATGTGACTCCCCCCCACAAAAAAAAATCTGCACATGATGCAGAGCACTTGAGTATACACCAAGAAACTGAGGGAAAGGAGGAGACGAGAGCATGTGGGGACGTCAGAATACAGAGCTCTGGTTGGAATGATTAGAGGGTAGACCTAGCTGCCTTTGTATCCACTGCACTCATCAAAGGTGTTTGAATGTGAAAGCCATACCCTGGACACCAGCGTTCCGCGTTCTAACGTGTTCGAATGAGAGAACAAAACGCTGGATGCCGGCGTTCCATCTTCAAATGTGTTCGACGACTGCAGCAGAGACAGAAGCTATCTTTGTCTACACTGCACTCGTCGAACGCATTCAAATGCAAAAACCAAAAGCCAGACACCGTCGTTCCGCATGTGCAGAACAGACAAAGGCAGCTAGCTTTAGGTCTACCCACTAATCGTTCCAATCAGAGCTCTGCGTTCTGACGTCCCCGCACTCTTGTCTCCTCCTCTCCCTCAGTTTTTCGGCACAGAGTTCTGGGAGTTTAACAATGGCTAGCGAAAAATCCAACAGACAGCACCACATCCACAAAAAAATAGCTTTCTTTGGCATTTCCCAAAGGTGTTCTAAATTGCATAGCATTCACAGGATCTCTTCGCACCCTACCCGTCGCCCGGAGTCCACTTCAGGACTCCGGGCAACGTCCACTCGGAGGAGGGACCGTCCCGTGTGATCTGGCTGGTCCCTTGAAAACGGGAAACGTGTAGGGAAGTGTGAGAGTAGGCCAGAAGGGTGGCATACTCTCCCCGACATGATACAGAACGAGCAGGCTCGAAGCCAGGCGACTCCGGCCGGAATGTCTGCAGCTTACACCTTCTCAGGGGAGGGAAACCAGTGGCTCCCGCAAGTCACTCGGTTTTTCTCTAATGATCTTGTCAAGACTTCTTCAATACCCGTATCAAATAAAAGCGGTCATGACCGAAAACGTTGCCCGAGAGATGTCCTTTGTAATGGAAGCACCCGACGAAATCGGTGACGAAATGGCGTGTTTTGATGTACGGACCCGAGAGAACGGGTCAAGCGGAGGGCTGAACATGGGCGCTGAAGTTCAGGCTCACGAGGTTCAAGAACTGGACGAGTTGATTCGGTCCTACGGTGATGTCTTCGACGATAGGCCAGGTAGAACCACGAGATCCCAAAGAGCGCCGACCCGATTTCGTCGAAATCGTACAGGGTTCTGTACAGTATCAAGGTGGGGGTACAGGAACAACTGATGGAAATGCTGGAAATGGTGCATCATACGGACATCGACAAGTCCGTGGGCATCCCCGATAGTATGCGTGAAGAAAGACAACAGCATGAGGATCTGTGTCGACTTCAGGAAGCTGAACGCGACAACACAGGATGATGCCTACCCCATGCCTTCACTCCCTGAGATGATTGAGACTGTGGGGAGAGCCAAAATAATCGGCACCCTTGACAAATCGGTTTATCAGAGGAAGCTTTTTTTAAGACAGCATTCCGTACGGACACCGGCTTGTACGAATTTACGGTGATGCCGTTCGCACTGAAAGGAGCACTGGCGACATTCCAAAGGTTGGTGGACGACCTCCTGAAAGAGCACCGAGACTTCGCTCGGGCATACTTAGATGACATAGCGGTGTTCAGCAACACGTGGCAGGTGTTCAGCAACACCTGCTTCATTTGTGCACCATCCTAAAGAAGTTGCGTCAGGAAGGCCTGGCTCTAAAAAATAAACAAGTGCCAGCTTGGGAGGTGGGAAGTGCACTACCTGGGGCACGTGATTAGGGATGGGCAAGCACAACCTGACCCTGAAAAGATTGAGACCATCCAGGCGATCGAGAGGCCCCACACGAAGACAGAAGTCCGTTCCTTCTTGGACCTAGTTAACTTCTACCGGAATTTCATTGAAAACTTCGTGGAGCTGGCCGCACCGCTGACCGACCTCCCACATAAGGCTGAACCTAAGCAAGTAGTGTGGACGCTGTCATGCGAGAGCGCATTCAGCGCACTGAAGGAGAGAATATGCAGCAGTCCAGTGCTGCGGAGCCCAGACCCGAGTCGACCCTATATACTCCAAGTAGACGCTAGCAACAGGGTGATCGGGGCCATTCTAGCTCAAACTAGCGAGGGCGTCAAGCACCCCGTTGCGTACGCCAGCCGTAAGCTACTTCTTTGTGAGAAGAAGTATGCAACAATTGAGAAGTGTCTGGCAATTGTGTGGGCCATGAAACATTTTCATGTGTATGTTGATGGACAAAATGTCAGAGTCCAGTCGGACCACAACGCGCTCCGATGGCTAAACAACAGCAGGCAGAACAATGACCGTCTACAAAGTTGGAGCCTGTTGCTGCAGGCCTAGCAGATTAAGATAGACTACAAACAGGGTTGCTTGCATTCGAATGCGGACGCCTTGTCGCGTATCTATGGGCACTATGATCAGAATGTAGTGCCCTGCCAAGGCTTGCGATCTGCTTCTCCACTGAACATGTAGTCGCAAAGATTTTTCTTTTATTTTTACAAACCTAAACATTAAGAATGTGAAAAAAAAAAAAAAAAAAGTTTATTGTATTCAGAGCATTTCACTTGTGCGTGTCTGCTTCGGATGCTTAGTTTTATAAAGCAGTATTACAGGAGGAGTTGCACTGTGCAATGAAAACAATGGGCGTTTCGTGAGCAGAGGCTCGCAAATCTTGTTTTTTTATGTTATCATTTCGGTTAAAGGGGCGTGTTGCATAATTTTGTATCTTTTTGCCTTCATCGGGGGTTCGAGCATCTTTACTACACCTTGCGTGCCCCCTCCCGGGGTCGATGGGCCCCAAGTGGAGGCGCCAACGTGAACATTATAACCTTACACCTGTTTATATAGAACTCCGCATATAACTTCTTTGCCTACAAAGGTACTTTGTATTATTTTAGCTGCCCTTGACGCACATTGTGCCGCATTATGCCGTTGATGGCATGTCCCATCCCGTGTTGTCGACCTTTCGAGGTTGTACGGGGAATCGGCTATTGTAAACATGAGAGGTATATTAAGGACTTGTAAATGCGTTTGTAGGGGTCTATGATTGGAATGTTTACAGAGTCAGCGGCGGAGGGCCGTTTTGTTTTGGATAGCGCCAACTGAACTCATTTATTATTTTGCTTGTCGGGATATGTGTAGCCCTACCACAGGGACGAGAATGCATGTTAGAGGGAGAGAGTGAAAGAGAGAGACGAGGGTAGCTATGTTGGGAGCGGGAGAGTTGAGAAGGGGGAGTTGACTGAGAGACTTGAGAGGAGACACATCGAAAGCGATGCAGCAGGAGTTGAGATAAAAGGCCCATCAAGAGTGATGCGGAAAAAAATCAAGTGGATAAAGTGCAGGGGTGTCACTTAGAGAGTTAGACGGCAGAGGCCATTGAGTTTTGAGAACTAGCGAACTCTAACTATGCTGTAATTTTTGTGTATAACACCTGTATATTAAGCCAAGTTATTCAACCCTAAGTCTATGATCCCGACATCACTAAAACCCTTGACTGGCAATCGGCGACAACGCCGTCAGCACAGACCCGAAGACGAGCGACTTCATGTCACGAGACGAGACGAGATGAATATAAACTTTACAGACCAGATAAAAGTGAGTGACGCATTGGCTAACATTGCGTCTTGGTGTCATGAAAATAACATGAAGATATTAATATTAGCAAAACTCAGTACATGCATATTACAACAAAAAGAACTATCTTAAATTTTAGCTATGAGGTTGCTGGCATAGGATTGACTGAAGTAGACAGTTACAAATATTTGGGAGTGATTTTGTCTTGTGACCTTGGGTGGAAAAGGCATGTACAGTATGTTAAGAAGCGGGCAACTAACAAATTGTGGTACGTGAGGGGAACGCTGGGTAAATCTCCCCCTTCCGTTGAAATTCTTGCTTATAAGACAATTATTAGACCTGTGTTAGAATATGTGTCTGGAGTGTGGAGCCCATGGCAGAGCTCTCTGGTCAGTGAACTCGAAGATATTCAATTGCTAGCAGTGCATATAGTTTTTTCAGATTTCAGACAAACTATGTCTGTGACCGAACGTAAAAGGAGAGCCAATATAAGCCCGCTGTCAAACAGAAGAGAGAGCCAACGTTTGAAGCTGTTCTTTCAGATTTTCAAGAGTAGTATAAAAATTGATAGCGTGATTTACCTAAAAACAAAAAGTTTTTACTCGGACCGCTTGCATCACTCACAGACCGTAGCCCCTATTAAAGCTCGAATAAATAGCTATAAACAATCTTTTTTTTGTGCATACAATTGATTTTTGGAACAGCCTTCCCGGTGATGTTATCGATATTGATTCACTTTCTTCTTTCGGAAGAGCCGTAGATATTATTTTTCAGTGCTAAGATTGCATTTATTGCTGTTATGACATTATTTTTACTGTCTTTATTTTATTAGTTATTACTGCTGTTACATTTACTGCTACTGTTATTACTAGCCTTACATTTGGTTACTGTATTACTGTTGATATTGATTGATTTTCTTCTTTCGATTAAGTCGTAGATATTTTTCAGTGCTAAGATTGCTTTTTGTTTAGAACTGTTGTGTTTATAATTTGCAGGTATGACACTGTATCACCCCACTCCTGCCTTGGCCCAATATTGGGCCGGCAGTATTGATAAATAAATAAATAAAATAAAAAAGTGTGTGGCAACAAACTGAAAGAAAAATTGAAAATGAAGCACAGGTTGTCGATTGCTTGCTTCACAGAATAAATAGCCCAGCTCGCGCCCGATTTTGCTGCCCGTGGGACGCAGTTTCTTAGCAGAAAATCCCCTTTTATTCAGTTCTCGTTCCTTATGGCGGAAAAACCCCAGTCGTCTGCTCTTGTTCCTCTCCCGAGTGATGCATGACGGGAGTGCATTCTGGTGCACACTTGATTCTCAAGGTGCAGCGAGTGCATAGACGTGTGGAGTGGCGACGCCGAAATGAACGCGTGGAGTGTCGGCCGAAACAAACATGCTCCATGTTGCGAGTGGGTACGCATGGGCACGAGTGCCCATGCATACATGTAGTCATACACTGTGCACGAGCATGTGGCTTCGACTTTTATCTTGTTTGCGTGCAGAAGTGGCTTCAACGGCATTGCAGAAATTACACTAGCCTTGACAATGAAGTACAAAAAGGTTTACGCCAAGTCTAGACACTGTTGCAAGATCACCGAGCCAGGAAACCTAAACCGAGCCACCACTAAATGTGTTCCGTTTCAAAATGGTGTAATTGGCAAGACTGAACCGCCACCAAATGTGCTCTGCGGTAGAGCACAAAAGTACATCACCAGACATGAGTGTCCAAAATGTACTTACAATGGCTAGCGGCGCCTCATAAAAGTCATGCAATGACCCTCTGCTTGGCCACTTAAGCCACACGCAGTGCCGTGCAGGGTACAGGACGGCATCCATGGTGCAGTGATCCAGGGTCCCGCCCGTAGTGTTCCGCTGCTGCCTTGGACAAGGTGAAAGCCAGCTCACTGATGTCATGGTCCCCGGTACCTGTGGTGTGTAACCATTGTGTTTAAAGGTTATACAGCCACCGACCGATATTGCAGACCCGATGGGGATCGTGCAGAATTCCGAATAATTGAGCAGTATGAAAAAATGATTTTAGCCTAAAAATCACTTTATTATTACGACTTAAAACGCAAAGTTGCTGCAGCAAGTGATCGATGGTTTGCTGTACGGCATGGTACTGTATGGTACTTCGCATTTCAGCGAGTCATTTTGTCACTGTATACCGACGAAAGCATTCGGACAAGTTACGCGCTCACGGCTGCACAATGCTCGCCAACTGTAGGGCCAGTCGGTAGACTTTCCCCTCGGTGAAGGGCAAAGTCCGGTTTGTAAACGCTGTGCCGCTGGAATAAATGCGCAGATTGATCGCTACTTCCTTGGCGATACAATCGCTGCCTTCTCACGTCGACACACGGGAAATACCGCAAACAAAAGCAGACGCCGTCATGACTTTGCAAAGTAAAACCGGAGAGGCCAAGAGCAGAAGAATTGCTTAGAGTGCTGACGTGCTACGAGGCATCAGCAACCAAAACCTGCCATTTAAAAAAAATATATACTAGTTTCTTAGCAGGACGTGACGTCACGACAACTGACAGCAGTGATTGGCAGGCGGTGTGCATTCTTGCCACTGAATTCATAACCTGTCACCGAATGTAGTTTTTAAACATGGCAGATATAATCTGGCCTGTTTTCGTCCACAATGCTGCCGCCTAGTCTGTCGCATAAATTATTTTTGTTGCTAAGGGGCAATTGGGGCTTTACGTAAACATAGGCTGGACGTGCGTGTGGGAAAAATAACACGAATGACGGCCCCCAACATTGGCTCTTCAAACAAACTGCCAGAAAACAAAAAGGCCAATATGTCAACATTTTTGTCCTTTCCCCATTTTTGGTGGCTGTCGTGTCAGATTGAAGTATAAGTAACTAGTAAAATAAAAATAAATAAAAAAGTACATAACAAAAGGTGTAAATAAACTCTGTAGATATAATACCAGTCCCAATGGTTTAACAAAGAGGCTGGCTTTCTCAGAATGCCCCCCTCTCACTCGAGTCCGTATTGAATCTTAATATGAAGTTGCCCCGAAAAAGCTGCAGAAAATGCACATAGTGACAGAGCCCATAAAGACCACACCTGCCTTTCACATGGCCTTTCGAACTAGATGCAGTACAGGACGCAGAACGGTACCCATGGGCTAGCTGCAGCTGTAGCCCAGTGCTTGTAGTATCTCGCAGCTGATGGAAGGGAGGGAGGCCAGCTCCTTCATGCCGTGGTACCGGGAAAAACAATACAGATGAGCCACAGACGTCAAGCGCCTTGAGTATTTCTGTGCATCCACGAAGCCAATCTGGGACAGCAACGACAGAAAACTTCAGTAACACAGTGAACAAAAGAGTAGGCATGCAGGCGAGCTGTGAATTCTGAACACAGCTAAAACCCAAGGCACAAGAAAGCAGAAAGGAAGAGGCCTTTCCACTTCCTTGCATGTCGGGTTTGAGTCTCGCACGGGGTAGCAAAAAAGCAACAATACTGGCTCCCTAGTCTTTTTCTGCGTCAAGAAGCCTTGGAACAAAGAAATCCTACTGGTTATTCATCTTGTTTTCTCTTCTCGGGCGGATTATAGTGCACGGTGCGGAAGCAAACTGCCTCGAAAGGGCTCAACTCACACTTCCAAGAAAATGATTGGCAAGCAACCTCTCCATTGTGTGCTATGTGCACTGTACGTTTTAAGCAGGTCTGTTTTCTGCTAACACAACAGCGGTAGGAATGTTACTTGTGTCGAGCTGGAGAAGCCATAGTGGGGGCTACCCCAGCTACGCCCACGCTGGCTCTAATGGCGGTTATGTGCAACGCAGACAGCTTTCCCCATTTCAACCGAGTGCCTAGGCAGACACAGAAGCAGCCACATAAGACGATCGAGGGAAGACGCAGAGTTGTACAGGCGAAGAGGGAACGACATAGTGTAGCGAGCTTTTTAGTCCAGGCTATTCCTCCGAGAAATGCAGTCGGTGGAAATGTATGTCAGTTGTTCTTGCCATTAATTTAGGTAACGAATGCAAACATTATACTATTTTGCATCTTTTTCTACTGCAATGCTGGTCACCCGCAACGAAAAAACGCCACAAACTGAAAGAAAGTCTGGTTGCAATGTTAACACGGACACCAAGTCCACCAGGAAAAGCCATCTGTGCCATCCACCTGTTCATAAGCGAGCTGGAGTTTATCAAAGCACAACCGAGACTCTCTCGGGAGTATTTGGTTCCTTGTCACTAGTTATTGAATGAAAACACAGTGCAGTGTTGATTACTGTCAGCGCAGCCTTGCCACTAGCACTGCTGTCACTCGGGTGGCACATATTTCGCTGGCACGACATGGCCTGCGAGCCACATATATCCCTAAAAGGAAGCTGCATAGAATGCACTTACCGTGGCTAGCGTCGCCGCCCAGAGAGCTTGCACAAAACCTCCGCATGACACGCAGTGCAGTTCAGAACAGAGCAGCACTGGCTAGCCAGTTGCTGCGAAGGCTTGCAGTGCCTTGCTGCTGCAAGTCACCTCCTTCATGCCTTGTGGTACCCATCAGTTTCAAAACAAACGCTGATGAACCACGACCAGCCATCACCTGTAGCACAAGGGGGAAAAACATATGAATGTGCAGTCTCCTATCTGTTTGCTTTTGTCTAACGTCTCTGAGTTTTCTTTGAGAAGAAAACAGCAATGACACTTCTTTCACAGTAATGTGCAAAAGAAACAAAAACGGCTCGGTTATTATACTGCCTCGTAAGTTGTGTGCAGCAAAGGCACGGGTGCGAGGGCACAGCTCTGCAGAATGTCCTTTTGCGCGGGTACTCGTGCAAAAAAGGCGCTTTTTACTGTCATGTGCTCGGGCCTGCGCCTCTGCTGCACACAACTTATGATACAGAGTGTATAGCACGCCTCCGTGAGCACTCGCGTACGGCGAGAAATCCATGATATCCAGGGTACGATAGCAGGAAACCTCGCAAGCGTGCACGAGGCTGCAAGTGCGCCAGAATGTGCAACTGGAGGTGGTGACAGAATGACATAGTTTGAGAACATGAGCTTACTTGGGTCAAAATATAGAAGCGAAAAACGTAACTTCCTTGCCGGCTGATGTTTGGAGCCATCGGAGCACGATCAACTATTTGTTGTGATCGGGGTATTACGATCGGACGCGGGTTGGTAAAGATTTGAAAAACCCGGAAGAATAAAACCTGTTGGGGGCGAAGACAGACAGCGCAGTTCCTTGTTGACATGGGATGTAATATCAAACACATTATTCCGCCGGATCAAACGTTTTTGTTTAATCAGGCTTAGCTCGGAAGTCTGCCGGCAGGTCTGGGATGCGGTTTTTAGAGCTCTTTTGGCGGGCTTTCAGGTTTCTGCGATGCGTGTTTTCATCGTGAGCACAGGCTCAAACAATAGGCAGCGGCGCCAAATGTATTTGAAACGAAGAAGCAGCTCGGACACGTGGAACGAACACATCGAAATCACATCACAGGAAAACGCCACTCACCTTTTGTTCGACGATGGTTCGCAAGACACGATTCAAATCGACGACACTCGATTCGGTCACGATATTCAGGTAAAGGACGCAACAACGTAGGCCTTGCCGTTCCTAATAACTACATAAATACGACGATACGACACGATATCAAACAAAGGAGTCGGAAAAACGCAATCTGAAGCGCAGAAACGCGGTCCCGCGGTTGCAAAAGCAAGAAAATAAACAAAATAAAAAAAAAAATAATACGTCAACAAAGTAAAAATAAGAAAAAGTTTCCTCGCTAAAAACCGTGACGTCACAGAAAACAAAACAAGCAAAACAAAATTTCTTTGTCACGTGACGTTATATTTGTGACGTCACTTCCGGTGACGTCGGGTCACGTGACCTGCCATTATTCCTCCTCCGAATCGCTCGTAGCCTGTCGCGCATGCGCACACGAGTCGAACCTCAATACAAGGTCGACGAACTTTCCACTAAAAGTTCGAAAAAGTCGAACCTGGTCGAACTCGAACCGCGGCCGGTTCGCGACACCCCTAATGGACCTTTTTCCAGTAAGCGTCTGCGCACGCGCACACCCTTTCCACTTGACCTTGACCGCCCTTTCGCCATTTTTGGGGGGCACTGTTTTCTTGCGACACTAATCTGTTCCTATGGGAGAAAGCGAGTCCGGTTGCCCTCCATTTGTAGTAGGCGGCGAAACCGTCATGCGGCACTCCTTACTGGAAAAAGGTCCATTGTAGTAGACCTGTGCGCCGCCGCGCCGCGCCGCCGCCGCCGCCTGTTTTGCTCTCGCCGCCCTGCGCCGCCGCCGGGTTCCCCAGATCCAGCACGCCGCCGCCGCCGCCGCACAATAAATCCGGCGCGCCGCCGGCGCCGCCAACTTTTTTTTTTTTTTTTTTTTTTTTTTTTTTTTTTAGGGGGGGGGGGGGGGTATTGGTGTTTTTTTTTTTTTTTTTGTGCTGCTTCTATATAAGTTTTACCTACTATATTATGCATAAAAATGAATAGATTGTTTTGCCTTTCATTTTTACTCCTGTAAATATATCAATAGGTGTAGAAGTTCGATAAAAAACGGAGACACAGAACAAACAAAAAAAAAACGGACAAAACAACAAGTCTCAAACACCGCTTGTAGTTTATTTGAACAACGAACGTTGTTACATATACCTCAAAACCCTCACCACCAAAAAAGAAACACCTCCCCTTCACTAGGTCACCGAGAGCCGGACACTCAGACAGAACCCATATGATTCATGATTCAGACATATCGAAATGATTTACACCAACCAGCCACCCTGATGACCTCGCTTGAGGGCTGACCAGCCACATGCGATAACAGGCAACTCCAGCTCCAGCACAGTCCTTACAATTCTGAGAAAACAGACACAAAAAACGCTTCACATCACTGTCCAATGCTGAGGACGGTGTGCTTACTCAATTACCAGAGGTCAAAATACGCATCGTCTCCCTCAGAACTCTCCTACCATTGCTGATTGTTGGGCGAGTGTGTATTGTGCGTGAGAAAACATGATTGCGCTTTAAGACATAGACAGAGGAAGAAGACCACAGAGCGCTTACTTTCAACTGATTTAATCCAAGCGCCTCAGCGTAGATACACATTGCGTCACCACACCACATCGCAACCAATCCGTGGCCCCGCCGCGGACTGCAAATACGCTATCTCTTTTTCTGCAAAGTCAATTGAAACCACGCATGACTGCAGGTGCAAACCATTATTTGCTTCCTCCACTGTTCTCGCTAGGCATACAGATAAGACCGTTAGAGAGATAATTGAGGCGGACGCCATCAATAGTTCCGGCACGTGTTGTGCACGTGTTTTATTCTGGCACCCCTGAGGACTACCCCGAAAAGGAGGTTAACCTTTCTAATTTGTGCTGAGCTTTAAAAACTAAATTTACACCGAACCTCTCTGCCACTGATATAAAGTTATGAGAGATTCCAAGGTAGCACACACACAACATTCCATACAACCGGTTTTTCCCACAGGAGCCGGATTAAACGTACGTTCCTTACACCTTGAGCACAACTGTAACAATCCCATCCTGGTGTAATTGTTCAAATGGTTGTGAACGAAAATTGAGTTTGGCAGAAGGTGTTGTCGGTTTTTATCTAGAAATGCCTGACAGGAGTGGAGCAACAGCCCATTGTCACTCAAAAACTCTGAGCAATTGATTGAAATATTGAATCCGCATCATGGGAGAAGGTGCGATGTGACACCTGTAGACATCAAGGACTTACGTTACTCTATGGATAAGTCGGAGCTGTTAATAAGGGTCAGGAGGTGGTGTGATGATAATCTAGTGAAGCTGCAGTCTGCCAATGGGATTGATGTAGATAGTTTTATCAGCATTCTGGAGTTTCATTTAGAGTCCACTGCTGTAGACGTTGATGGTTCTCTTTATTCAAAAACAGGGTGTGTGTATCGGGTCGTGAATTGCTCCAGTGTTGTCCGAGATTTTTTTTAAAACGAGGCTTATGTACACGTTGACACGGTTGTGCGGTCCTTGTCAATTGGACCGCAAAACCCTGCCATCGCAACAGTCGAATTAAGTACTTATAGACCTACTGTTGCACACGGAAAAGGGCCTGTGCTGGATGTACGGCAAGGAATCAGCCAAGCCTCCGTCGGCAGCTGAGAGCTGTCACTTGAAAATAGTTAAGAGTGGAGTAATTGCGTCTGCGATGGATAACGCTTGTAAAGAATCCCGTATGTTTTGGGTTGGTGAGGTAGTTGAGTTGCAAAAGATGCGTCGTTTGGAGGCGGGCCATCACAATGATGTAATTGTCAGAGTTGTGCTCAAGGTGCTGAAGGTTTAATCCGGCTCCTGTGGAAAAACCGGCTGTGAAGAATGTCGTGTGTGTGCCTTACTACCATGGAATCTGTCATAACTTTATATTAGTGGCGATCGGTGTAAATTTAGTTTTCAAAGCTCAGCACAAATTAGAAAGGTCAACCCCCTTTCTGGTGGTCTTCAGGGACGCCAGAAAAAAAAAACATAAGAACCCAGGTGTAACTTTTCAGGCAGGAGTGGTGTAGGGACCATCTCATTTCGTCGAAACTCGTTTCGTGGAATTAATTATCGCAGACAACATTTCATGGGCACACGTTTCACGGACACACGTTTTGGCGAATTGCACGCTGTAGGGACATCTCGTCACGCGTGTATCATATATTAGTAAGGGTTCTGATAAAGTTGCCTGTTATCGCATATATGGCTGGTCAGTCATCAAGCGGGGTCGTCTGGGTGGCAGGTTAGTGTGACCATGAATCTTTTGGATCTGCCTGAATGTCCGGCTTTCAGTGACCTACACTCTAAAAAAAGGGTGTATTCGTACACCCTTTGTCCCATATAAGACACCCCAAAACTTCAGACGTCGATCTGACGGTACTAACTTTCACGAGAGGCTTGATAGCCGTGTGGTACAACTTATTAAAATAGCTAATGTACGTTTTACTGACAACAACAAAAAAAAAAATAATACTAATAATCGGGGCTTTCTTGGCCCTGCTGCGAAACATCAATGTTTTCTTTCTGTGGTCTTTGATACGTACTTTAGCTATTTAATCAGTTATATCGCTCCGTTATCAAGCCCCTTGTAAAACGTGTGGCCGTCTGTGCACTGTGCGTCAAACTAAAGTTTTGGGGTGCGTTATATGGGACAAAAGGGTGTATGGTGATAACCTTTTTTTTAAAGAGTTCTTTTTTGGTTGTGAGTGCCTTGACGTATATATAAGAGCGTTCCTTGTTCAAATAAACTATTAATTTTTTTATTTATTTATCAAAGTACCCTCAGGGCCCGAAGGCATTACAGAAGGGGAGAGCACATACATGAAACAAAGATGTTCGTATACGCGACGCGAAGTCTTACGAGATTTGGTTGTCGGAGAAAAAAGCGATGATTTTGGCACTGGAACGTGTACGTCTTGATAACGTATATATAATAGAATCCAGCTACATATATCTTAATTCTCCACATAAAGGTGGAAATTAGTAATGGTTCGCAAGGAGTCGGACTCTTTTTACTAGAGTTCTTGATGTGAAAAAGGGTATAAAAGCTGTGTTTGAGACTTGTTCTCTTGTGCGTTATTTTTATCGTTTCGTGTCTCCCGTTACTATGGAAGTTCTTCACCAGCTCGCCTGTGTTTTTAAAGTGTTATAACGGGATGAACGGTTTTGTAGACCGCAAAACGATTTAATGAAATTTTTGTGAAATAATTTGATACAAAAGGGCTATATTCGCGTCCGTTTTTCAGGCTTCTTTCAAACGTATTTTATTTTGATCCACACGCATGGCTTGTTCCTGTCACATCGTGTTTCTGGGGGTCCTTCTTTCTCGTTTCCACGCCGGGATCCAGCATCGGGGGTCGAAGTCGAGCCCCCATCCGGTCGAGTCGGGGAGGCTCTCCTTACGGGTCTTTGCCGCCAGAGTATTTGCTTACACTCCCGAGCTCAAAATCCTTGCACCCTCGCACATTTTGTTAATGTTGTCATGATCCTCTGTTATGCGTCTAGCCATGGATCTTGGAGGGCAGCGTCGGCGTGATGCGCTTGTAATCGGAAGATCTGCTGCGGAGCAAGGCGAGTTGGTTGAAATCGACGTCAATCGCTGCAGGTTGTTCGTGAAACAAAAAAAGAAAAAAAGAAAAGAGCTATCGTGCGGCAGCTTGGCGGCAATCCGGTGTGCCTTGCGGGGTAAACCCGGAAATGGTGTAGGTTTGATTGTTCACGTTGGTGATGAATTAAGTGTCCATGGAAAAGCAGGCCAAGTTTCGAGGAATTAAGGAACGCCGTTCGTGTACCATACCCTGTCCCTGACCCTGTATGGAGCTGGTCGATATTTTGCATCGTAGGAACGCTTCATGCCGTGAAGGTAAGCGAGGTTCGCGTTTGCAGCGTCGCAGTTCGCGCGGACGTCGCCGACCTCGTCGGGAAGCGGAAAAAATTCCATTGCTCGACGTGGGACAAAGTTGAACAGGAGTTCGAACGGTGATGTCTGGAGTCCGGCGCACGGCTGCTGGTTCACTTGAAAGCTGGTTGCCTGGAGATAATCGCTCCAATGGTCGATGTCGCCATTGACGTTCTTTCGCGCAGACATGGAAGGATTTTTCCGTTGACGCGTTCGACAAAGCCGTTAGCTTCGGGGACGTATAAAGTACTGTTAGGGATGCTCTGAATGTGCCTGTTGGCGAAGTACCGCGAAGCCGAACGAGAGGTTAG